GATATATAAATGTGAAAAGGAATAAAGCAAGACCACATGAAAATTTTTATTTTTGTGTGCAATATTCATTCATGTCTGCTGCCTCCTAGTCCTGACAAAGATGAGGATAGATGAGACAGACACTGATGAGATTTTGGAAATGACATCCATTAAATATTGTTGGAGCCTACTGCATGACCCAGCAACAGCCTCGGGGAATAAAGAGCCTGGTGTGTGAGGAGGGCAGTTCCCCTTCCTGTGGGGCTGCTGAAGCACAACCATGTCATTTGGAGTGCCCTGCTTCAAGAGGCCACACCCTATGTCTCCGGCCCCTTCAGACAGACTCTGTAGCTCTGCGGATCAGCACAGTTGCAGCCTCCAGGAGGAGACGCCATGACCGTCTCCTTCACAGTCCTGCTCTGTCTGGGTGAGATGTGGAGATGGGGAGGGATGCTGTGCTCTGGGATTGATGCTGCCCCACAGCCCAGCACGGGTCAGTTAGGAAACCCCAGGGTCTCAGGAGGTTCTGCAGAGGGGAGGACCTTCTCAAGCTTCAGGGACAAACCTCTCACTGGAAACTCTCTTCCAGGGCTGACTCTGGGCCTCAGGACCACAGTGCTGGCAGGTGAGTGAGTTTCTGCAGATGTCCTGACATCACTTCTCATCATTCCTGGAGCCATGCTGGGCAGTGAGGATGGAAGCTCGATGCCCCTGGGAATGGCTGAGGGTTGGGGTTGGGGAGCTGCAATCTGAGATGACTGTCCTGGATCTTAGCTGATCTTTTCCTTGCAGGAAACTTCCCTAAACCTATCCTCAAAGCACAGCCAGACACTGTGGTCCCAGAGCAGACTACAGTGACCTTCTTGTGTGAAGGGACCACGGGAGCCCAAGAATACCGTCTGTATAGAAATCGACAATATTTAAGGCACATAGACAGACTACCAAATCCTAATAACAAGGCTGAATTCTCAATCTCAGAAGTAGACCCTCACAAAACAGGCCAATATACCTGTCAATATAGGACCCGTGGTGGATGGTCAGAGTACAGTAACTCACTGGAGCTGGTGGTGACAGGTGAGAGGACTCACAGAGTCCACAGCCTCAGGTTTGTCTGTCAAGAAGTATTCTGTCCACAGGGATGACTCCCTCACAACCCTGGAGGGTAAGAGGGCCTTTGAGGACATTTAACTGATTCTTCTTCTCTCCTAGGGGCCTACAGTAAACCCAGCCTGTCAGCCCATCCCAGCCCTGTGGTGACTGAAGGAGGGAATGTCACTCTACAGTGTGTCTCAAGGAAACAAAGTTGCAAGTTCTTTCTGACTAATGAAGGACCACAGAAGGTCTTCTGGACACGGCAATCAAAGTACAACTACTCTACTCGGCGGTACCAGGCCCAACTCCTTGTGGATGCTCTGACCTCTAGCCAAAGGTGGACATTCAGATGCTACAGCTTTGAGAGTAACAGACCACTGGTGTGGTCAGAACCTAGTGACCCCCTGGAGCTCCTGGTCTCAGGTGAGAAACCCCAGTCCTTCCCTAGAAGGCTGCTGAATTGACACAGGTGCTGAGGGAGGTCTTGGTGTGTGAGGTGTGAGGAGCCAGGGCTGCTGAGCCCATTGACACAGGCAGTGGGAGACAGAGGGACACAAGATACAGAATCCAAGGGAGAGACTGACAGCAAAGCTTAGGAGGTCCAAGACAGACAGGAAATGTCATGGAGCCCCCTGCTACTGTTGTTCAGCTTAAATGGCATCCACCGGAGCTCCAGCAATTCCACAGAAGAGAGAGAGAAAGGGTTGCAGGAGCCAGAGCACTCAGGACACCAGGAGATCACAGCCCACAGGATCAACTCAGCAGGGATCCTGAGGGCTCACAGAGACTGAAGCAGCAAAAAGGCTCTTGCATGGGTCTTCCCTAAGCCCTCTGCACACAGGCTGTGCTGATTTACCCTGAGGTCTTTTTATTTTTTGTTTTTTAGGGGTTCACTGTGTAGCCCTGTCTACCCTGGCAGTCACTCTGCAGACCAGGCTGGCCTTGAACTCAGGAGCCTGCATTTGCTTCCTGAGTGTTGGAATTAAAGTGTGTACACCACCACTGCCTGAGTAGCTTGTGATTTTTGTTAGACATAACAATAGGAGTCTGGAAGTCTCTCTTTTGCCTGCATAGGATCTTTTTCCTGCTACTGGGTTGCCTCCTTAGCCTTAATAGGAGGGTGTTCGCCTAGTCTTACTGCATGCTGTTATGTCATGTTCCATTAATATCACTGGGAACCACGCTCTGTTCTGAAGGGAGACAGAGGAGCCGTGGATCTGGGGGAGAGGGGAGATGAGAGGGCCGCACTCAGGATGTATTGTTACAGGAGAATAAATTAAACAGAAGAAAAATACCTTCTGCATGTCTGATTTTCTCTCAGCAACTTTCAGACAGACCCACCTCTATGTCTCCTATTTCTTTGCAGGGACCCTTCACAAACCCACCATCAAGGCTGAGCCAGGCACTGTAGTCGCCTTAAGAAGCCCCATGAACATCTCGTGTCAGGGGACCCTGGATGCAGTAATGTATTTTCTGCATAAAGAGGGAAGCCAACAAACCTGGGGTACACAGACCCCAAAAGAGCCTGGGAACAAGTCCACGTTCTCCATTCCTTCTGTGTCAGAGGACAGTGGGGGGCAATATCGCTGTTACTGTTACAGCTCAGCTGGCTGGTCAGAGCCCAGTGACACCCTGGAACTGGTGGTGACAGGTGAGGGGACAGTGAGGGTCTCAGCCCCAGGCTCTACTGTCAGGAGTATTCCCTCCTAAAGCCTAGCCCTGACAGCATTGTGACTGTGTAATAACATGTAACAGTCTGTTCCTTCTGTCCTAGGAATCTATGACAGGAAACTCAGTCTGTCAGCACTGCCCAGCCCTGTGGTGACCTCAGGAGGGA